ACAGGCACGGACAGAGACGGACACAGATACAGGCACGGACAGATACGACCACAGGCACGGACAGAGACGGACACAGGCACGGACAGAGCCGGACACAGGCACGGACAGAGACGGACACAGGCACGGACAGAGCCGGACACAGGCACGGACAGAGACGGACGCAGATACGGGCACAGGCACGGACAGATACGGACACAGGCACGGACAGAGATGGACACAGGCACGGACAGAGACGGACGCAGATACGGACACAGGCACGGACTGAGACGGACACAGGCACGGACTGAGACGGACACAGGCACGGACAGAGATGGACACAGGCACGGACAGAGACGGACACAGGCACGGACAGAGACGGACGCAGATACGGACACAGGTACGGACAGAGACGGACACAGGCACGGACAGAGACGGACACAGGCACGGACAGAGACGGACGCAGATACGGACACAGGCACGGACAGATACAGGCAGAAGAACGGACAGAAACGGACACAGGCACGGACAGAGACGGACACAGGCACGGACAGAGACGGACACAGATACAGGCACAGACACGGACAAAACCGACACAGGCACGGACAGAGACGGACACAGGCACGGATAGAGAGGGACACAGATACGGACACAGGCACGGACAGAGACGAACATAGGCACGGACAGAGACGGGCACAGATACGGACACAAGCACGGACAGATACAGGCACAAGAACGGACAGAGACGGACACAGGCACGGACAGAGACGGGCACAAATATGAACAAAGGCACGGACAGAGACAGACACTGATACAGGCACGGACAGAGACAGGCACAGGCACGGACAGAGACAGACAGATACAGACACAGACACGAACAAAGACGGACAGATACGGACAAAGGCACAGACAGAGACGGACAGAGATACAGACACAGGCACGGACAGAGACGGGCACAGATACGGACACAGGCACAGACAGATACGGACACAGGCACGGACAGAGACAGGCACAGATATGGACACAGGAACGGACAGAGACAGGAACAGATGGTAACGAGGAGAAGGAAAGGAATCCACAAAAGCATACTCTTCTCTCTTTGGGTGATTTTCTGTCCCCTGTTTTAGGATACGCAAGTCAAGACAGAAGAGAAAAATGGACACTTCTCAAAGTTAACACCTTACATTGTTTCTTGAGTAACAAGTATTAATAAACTCTTTTATTTCAAAAGATGACAATAGCTTACAAAAAAGTAGGTGGAAGTCACAATGTTACAATATTTACTTGTATATTTGTATAAAGAAGATTGTAGATAGTTGAAATATTTACTGGTTAATAGTTTGATGGAAGGAAATAATTAAGTACATAGTAAAGAAAATGAGTGAAATTAAAAAGCCTTATAAGGAAAGGTATACACTTCCCTACATATTAGGGTTTAAAAATAGGCTGCATAAATATTAAGTTTTATTTTTAGGATATAAGAAAAATGTCTATAAACAATTGCAAGTTTATTAAAACAGCAATTCTGATATAAAATTGCCTAACTTATGCAGTCATTTTATATGTATAAAACATACACATTATAAAGCTATAATATACATAAAGAAATTTGGCATTATTAAGTTATATGCATTTGCAAATATTTTTGATTGGATTCTTTATTTATTAGCTTGACAATTAAAATAAATATTGAAAGTACCATTGATATATGACAATTATGCTATCCCTTATAAGACTGTCTGGCTTTATATTTAAATAATATTAACCATTAGCAAAGCTTGTTCATTGAGCAATAAAAAATTATGGTACTCAAATGAAACAATAAAATTAACATCATGTGTTCAAAATGTACAAATGAAAGTTGTCAAAGTTAAAGGCAATGAAAATTTTGAATTCTTAAAAATTAAGAATATCAGTTTGAAAATATGGTTTTACATGTTATTTTTTCAAACCAATACTCTTTTATTGAATTTTATTTTGAGATATGTTCTAAAAAAACAACAATTATTTGACTGAATGGATGGCATAAAATTCCATTTTCATTCATATCTGTTGCTATAGTCCTCCAGTTATACAGAAGGGTGAGCTTAAAGTACAAATGAGTATTATATACCAAACTTTATAACAGGCAATAATAAATTTTGTTCAAAATATAGATGTACACTTTATACATTTTATTTTCTAATAACACTGAAGTGGAATGTCTTCACATATCAAATTGAATAAATACAGTTTAAATATATTTCATGTTACAATATTATTAGCCCAAAACCGATGGACATGGCATGTGTGTACATGTCAAGCCCACTGTGAGTTTACTTTATTGTTTTTACACATAGATGGCTCCACTTGTACTAAGTCACCAATGAGCCCATTACTTGCCTCACCTGTTAACCCTTTTCCTTGATTTGCAAAAATATTTTGTCACCTTATATTGCTGTTACTTATGTTAATTATAAAGTCTCTAATAAAAATAACACCATCAATATTGATATTATTGGTAAAAAAAAAAAATCCTGCAAATTTGAGGAAAAATGAAATCAGGAAAGGTCACAAGCCTTACTAATTGACTCCTTTGTGGCTAAGCACTTGCACAGTCATCTATATGCCAAGACATTTTACAAAAAATTCTAAAACGAGCACAGCATTTTCCCGGCAACATTGGGTTAATAACTTGGGAACCTTGAATCACTTGATAACAGATATCTACTACATATCACTAATCTTATTATTTTTTTACATTAGAGTATCACCATTATATTCTTAAAACCTAAACCTGATTCCTATTCACTACATTATTCATCCATAAAAATCTAGTCACATAAGAAATAGAAGGCTTGAGAAGTCTACAGCAATAAAAGCGAGAATCACTTTGTGGTTTTCTACTTTTATGTAACTCTTAACACATCATATAGCATAAAACTTGCCTCTAGAAACAAAGCACTGACATCTACATATTAAAAGCAAACTTCAGGTTTCATACACAATTAATCAGGGAATTAAAACACTTTGATATGAAATCTTTTTGCCTTCTCAAGGTTTATTCCAACTAAATGCTTATTACAGCAAAAGATCTACATAACGCTGGCAGCTGAGCTTTCAGTTCTTGTAAAAAGAAAGAGTTGTGCTTTATGATTTTAAATACTTTTGAGTTGTTTATGACGACTATTAATTACAATTATTTTTTATATATAAACACTGGTTACTATATCTTTGCAAAAATATGACTAATTCCACTACAGCATAATCAACAGAATATACCTACCACTAATCAAAATCTAGGATTTCTTATTATATTACATACGACAAAAATCTGTTTCCATTTTATAAAAGATGCTGCACAAAACAATTATACCATCAAATCAATATTTTAGCAAGCATCTTTTCAGTTAAATCAATTCTGATAAAACTTTCATCAGGTACCTTCATGCAGTTGTAATTCATCACGTAGTACATGGTTTAGAAAACTGTTATACAAATGACTAACCTTTTCTGCATCTCTTCAGACCTTTGTAACAAATCACATTATTGCTCAGGGTACAACTTTCCTAAACTGTCTTCAGGTAATTATATATAAAGAGTACATATTCCCATAAAAAGTTTCATACAAATAATTTAAACATAACTTTCTGTACGAACTTCATATACATATACATATACATACATATATATATATATATATATATATATATATATATATATATATATATATATATATATATATATATATATATATATATATATATATATATATATATACATATACATATATATACGTATATATAACGAATGTACAGTGTATATATAAAGAATATAACAATCACCTGCATATACATAAATACTTTGAAAATTAATACAGTCCAGTCAAAAAGACAATCTATACACATATCAGACACCTAAGAGCATCTTTGACTTTTTATATAAGGTAATTTTTATTTGTTAACCTACATCATATATGCAATCGCTTCTTTTCCATATATATATATATGTATGTGTGTGTGACCTTGAGTTGAAGCATTTCAAAATAGTTAGAAATACATTACATACCTATCAAAAATACAAATAGTTGTACAGTTACTAAAAAAACTTTTCTATTTGAGGTTTTCTCTTCAGTACAGTGGCTTCAGCTTAATCCCTTGCACTGTGTTAAATGTAATGCATCACAGAGTCACATTTACTTTTATATTTCATCTTTATTTATTTTTGTTTTAACATTAGGCTTTTGCTTTTCCTCATCTATACTAGCATCATGGACCTGAGTCTGAGTACATTATTGTGATCAGCTAGTGAGTTGCAAGTTGTGCAGTATTATGAACTCGTCCTCATGCACAACGCAACCGCACACTTATTGCATTGTACACTGGAAGGTTAAACTAATGTTTCTGGTCCTTAATGGTATTCCAGAGCAAATATTTGAACTCTTGTGACTTGAACTGAAAATGAAACTGAAGAGCACAATGTAAGTACCAAGCCTCCAGTCAAGAGGAGTATGTAAGTAATTCGCAGCTAACTAAAATGTTTCAGTTATACAATATCTCTTTCAATCTTCGGAATTATTTGTAACACTGTCCATATTTCAAACTGTGTTCATCCCAATAGAAACAAACATCTCCATTTATGAACCATTTAGGGTTTATAAGCTGAAAAACAAGATTAACCCTGAATGGATATCAACATGACAATGCATACAGACAGCACAGTTTTTATTACTGGAAAAAATGTAATAAAAGCTTCTTTCATGTGTTAATCACTGAAACATCACACACTTACATAAACAAGAGATATGTCATATGGAACTAATCATTAAATTGATGCATGGCATTATAAAGCATTTCCAAGACTCCAAGAAGCTGTTGGAAGTAGCCCAAATCTCCTAATAAGTTTTATGAACCATAAAAGCAAAAATTATGAGGCAGTTTTTTTTTTTTTTTTTACCTAAAGGGAGTACCTTCATTTGAAATTTACAGGCATTAATAGTAATTTTTGTCAAAACAGTAATCAATTTTCACAATACATTTCTCAACTCTGCTTTGGAACATCCCCTTTTTTCAATTGCTTCCAAGAACAATAAACAGACAATAAACAGCTTGCTTGGTCAACAATATTTAATGTCTAATGACATTTGATGTAAACACAAGTCAAAGTGGTAATGGGTTGGTCCTATACACAGAGTAGAAAAAGCAATCTTCTGAGGAGAACTTAGAAGACTTATATGATATCAATGAAATGATGGCTGAAGAATGAAAAATGAATCTGTCGACTAAATACTAGATTTTACATTCAATCTTGAGCTTCATGGAAGAGATCAAATAAATAAGGCAGAGCAGTAGTTTCACAATCAAATATATTAATCAAATTAAAAAAACACTTATAACAAGTACTGTAAGGTAACTGGTCAGCTCAGTAACTCAGAATATAAGGCTTCAAATCTTAAAAAGTTTCATAAATGAATAGTTCATATACTTTAAGCATTGTAATAGTAAATCAATGATATCTCCCACTGGCAACCATGGAAATAGGAACCAGCAACCAATATTTTTAACCAAAAAGTCCCTTTAAAAATATCAACAGAAGGGAACATAGTGCAGTAACATAACAAGTGTTCTAAACATCATACTAAAAAGAAAGTGGAATAAAAAAAATAATAATAAATAAATGAAAAATAAAAACACATTAAAATATAAAAATCACACAGCACTTTATCTATATTATATAACCCTTAGTCACATACAGTTACAAAAATGTTTTTAATCTCCCACAAAACTGCCCTTATCATTACATTACTCACAGCCCAGTCTGATCCACAGTGGATCAGCACCTCTTAAATTACTTGGCAAATACTTTTGAAGTTAAAGTCTGGTTAATGTATAAACACAAGTACAGGCTGGCAATCAACTTGAAGCCTGGTAATGTATATCACTCTGGCTGAAATTACAATAATCAGTTATTTTGTCATATTGGTGACATCATCTTATTGCAGTTGGTTTGTTTGTTGTTTTCATTCTTTCCTTCTTTCTTCCTTCCTTTTGCTCATCATGACATTTATTTTTTTAGAAATTTATTGACCAATTTATTTTTTTCATTTTTTCTAGGCTTCAGTAATGATTGATATTTCTCATAATATCCCTTAAAAGATAACTATCTAGAAACTCCCTGAATATCACAATTATTAGTATATAATGTATATATGTCACAGTTACTTTGTGTCTGAAATAAAACATTCTATTTACAAATGACATCCACCTAAAGAAGACATTCTATACACTCCTACACACTTGCATTTTGAGCCATGACCCACGGCCCTTTATCATGGTTTACAAAAACGATGAATTGTTCAGAAAGACACGAGTAAGAATTCCCTTGTGAATTTATAAAGGGTGCAATGTCCGTCACTGTATTACCCACACCAGAAATCTCTATCATTATTATCACCTTTAATAAAAATTGTGCCAGGAAATGAAGTGGATCTTTTCTTTTCTTTCATCAATGTCTTTTTTTCATGGTTTGTTCTTAGCCTCCTGACATGCAATGTCCGACTGTGTAAACATTCATGCTAGCAAAGTTATTTTGAGCTGTATAAAGAAGTTATACCTTAAATACCACCTACCACACTTTTCATGACATTCACAGTGACACAAAAGGTTTAATATAGCTGCTTTCCATCATTTATATCAAAAGGATGACAAATCTCATTTGTATGTCTGTGCATTTGGTGTGTGTGGGTGGCTGTGGGTATGTGTGGCATATGTTAGTCTGTAGGGATGGGGGTAAGGGTGGGGGTAGGCATGAATGTGCATGCAGGCATGCATGTTTATGCAAATATGTGTGTGCATGTGAATGTTGATATGACAAACTTCTCACTTAACACTGATCATGTAACCCAATTAAGAAAACCCCTTTCTCAAATTAATATATCTTTGTGACCATATTGATCAGTCCCCTTCTAAAATATAATTTTCAAATACAAAAGAAAAAATCTGTATATAACATTAATAGTAATAAAACGTATACAAATATAGAAAAAATTTCCTTTGTGTATCTTACATCACAACACCATCTGAGACCTTAACACTTTTTGCCTAATATTAGAAAGAGGAACAAGAAAATTAAAATAAACAAATAAAAAGAACTTAATCAGATAACTACTCTCGCTTGACTTAAATCATAGCCCTAGTGCCGCTGTAGGGTCCCTCGTAAGACGCAGATTGGAAGTGTCAACTTGATGCCTCGGTGCCAATCCCTGCCTCGCCATTGCTCTCCACCAGCTCCGTGGCTTTGCTCAGGAGCACCTGGATATCACCTGGGGGGTAATGCTGCAAGGGAAAAGAGACGCAGGATTTTAGGGAAGGGAAACAGAAGGTGTCAGCACTAATTTCCATGCTTCCATTATCATAAAAGGAGCAATAATCATAAAAGTAGCAGTAAAAATAAAAGTTGTAATAGTATTAGGCCTAGAAATATTAGTAATAATGTTTAGATAGTGTTTAATAACAATGGTAATATTAGTAATAATGTTTAATAACAATAGTAATATTAGTAATAATGTTTAATAACAATAATATTAGTAATCATGTTTAATAACAATAGTAATATTAGTAATAATGTTTAATAGCAGTAGTAATATTAGTAATAATGTTTAATAACAATAGTAATATTTATAATAATGTTTAATAACAATAATGAAAAAATAACAAAATAATGATATAGTAACAAACAACAAAATATATCAAAATATTGAAAAATAGTAACTAATATCATTCTAACTATATTATCATAATATAGATAGAAGTAATAATAATAACAATAACAGTAACAATAGCAGCAACAACAACAATAATAATGATAATCATTGATAATAATGAAGAATGATAATAAAAACAATAATAATAATATCAATTATAATAATAATATTTCAAAATAATATTATTCTAATTGCTATCATTATTATTCTTAACAGTAATAATAATAACAACAAAAACATCAGTGATAATAATTAAAAGAAAAAGAATATATGATAATAAAAATACTAATAACAATAAACATAACAATAAAAAACAATATGAATATATAAGAAAATAACTAAAAAACAACAACAATAGCAATAAAAAAGACAACAACAAAAATAAACTAATAATAACAATAACAATAATAATATAAAACCTATATTATTAAAAAATTCACCAAACCCAGAGATATCAGTCTTACCTGCAGTATTTTCATATTACCAGCAAAGTCATTCTCCATCATAACATCTCGCTGTGTCCTGCCAATTCAATATGCAAATCAACAAACAAACTCAGCTTTGTCAACATACATCTCATTTCATATCATTTCAACCAAAACTAATTTCCTGACCCAAAACATATTGCATCTGACTAAAAAAAAGGAATACTTAGAAAACTCTTGACAACCACAATGTTGAAAGACAAATACCCCGGCAAGAGAAATACACACAAAACCAAAAAGCTTCAGGGCAGATACATACACCATCATCGCAGTGCACACTTGGATGAGGTAACTGAAGCGGTCAGAGTCGGCAAAGAGGGAGTCCCACACCCGGATGACGTCGGGGAGGTCAAACTCCTGGGACAGCAGAAGGGTCAACCATCTGATGAAGAACGTGAAAAATAAAGATATCGTTATACCATTCAGGAATCTGTTTTATCTTTTTTATGTCTACAAAAATGTCACTGCTTCACTGCATTGTTGTTTAATTCAAATAAAATCAAAAGTAAAAGTGATATTTTTTAATCCTGGATCTTAGTGAGTAAAGATTCATAATTTTTTCTAATCTGAGGACAGGAATTTTACACTATTATGATTAATCATTCTTTCATGTCATTCTAAAGGAACACAAAAACACAGTATCCCATTACCACCATAAAACTTTGAAAAAACACTACACCTAAGAAGATTTATAGCACATAATCCTTTCACAAAAGCCTCTAAAAATCCTCAGAATCTTTCTAGACCAGCATCTAAACCAAACTACCTGAAGCTGAAGAACTGCGGCTTGAGCTCCTGGACACGCAGCCGGTCCCAGAGTTGGTGGTCATGCTGCCTGAGGTTAGCCATTAGCCTATTCATCATCGCCCCGATGCCACTCTCACTCTCATCCAGTGTGCGAATGAAGAAGTCCCTGATCTCGCCCATCAGTGAGATGAAGCACCAGAAGCAGTCAGCTTCAGCCATTTCTTTGGGGAAAGGTTCAAAGGAAAATTGTCAATATAATTACAGCACACCCATGCTAATGTCATTTTTACAAAAACATTCTCTCCAACTTTTTTTTTTATTAACTTTCAATTTTCATTTTATTTATTATTTTATCAACAAAAAATATATACTTTTATGACTGCACAAAATCTTGTAAATCTGGATCAATAAAAAAAATCTATGAACATAAAAATTGTCTATAAAATGTAAACTCCTAATAGGTAAACATGCTGTAGACATGTCACCTTTTTTTCTAGAAAACAAGTTTACAAATAAAATCAGAATACAACCATACTATATTTAATAACATCAAATAACTGGTCTGTAAAGAGTTTCTACACTCCTTGTCAGAGGGCTGATCATGAACACCAATCAGACAAAACACAAAATTCACCATTGTTGTCCCTTCAAGAGGCTAAATTCCTATATAAAAAAGTTAACGGTATAATAATAACAACCAAAAACATCAGTGATAATAATTAAAAGAAAAAGAATATATGATAATAAAAATACTAATAACAATAAACATAACAATAAAAAACAATATGAATATATAAGAAAATAACTAAAAAAAACAATAGCAATAAAAAAGACAACAACAATAATAAACTAATAATAACAATAACAATAATAATATAAAACCTATATTATTTAAAAAATTCACCAAACCCAGAGATATCAGTCTTACCTGCAGTATTTTCATATTACCAGCAAAGTCATTCTCCATCATAACATCTCGCTGTGTCCTGCCAATTCAATATGCAAATCAACAAACAAACTCAGCTTTGTCAACATACATCTCATTTCATATCATTTCAACCAAAACTAATTTCCTGACCCAAAACATATTGCATCTGACTAAAAAAAAGGAATACTTAGAAAACTCTTGACAACCACAATGTTGAAAGACAAATACCCGGCAAGAGAAATACACACAAAACCAAAAAGCTTCAGGGCAGATACATACACCATCATCGCAGTGCACACTTGGATGAGGTAACTGAAGCGGTCAGAGTCGGCAAAGAGGGAGTCCCACACCCGGATGACGTCGGGGAGGTCAAACTCCTGGGACAGCAGAAGGGTCAACCATCTGATGAAGAACGTGAAAAATAAAGATATCGTTATACCATTCAGGAATCTGTTTTATCTTTTTTATGTCTACAAAAATGTCACTGCTTCACTGCATTGTTGTTTAATTCAAATAAAATCAAAAGTAAAAGTGATATTTTTTAATCCTGGATCTTAGTGAGTAAAGATTCATGATTTTTTCTAATCTGAGGACAGGAATTTTACACTATTATGATTAATCATTCTTTCATGTCATTCTAAAGGAACACAAAAACACAGTATCCCATTACCACCATAAAACTTTGAAAAAACACTACACCTAAGTAGAAGATTTATAGCACATAATCCTTTCACACAAGCCTCTAAAAATCCTCAGAATCTTTCTAGACCAGCATCTAAACCAAACTACCTGAAGCTGAAGAACTGCGGCTTGAGCTCCTGGACACGCAGCCGGTCCCAGAGTTGGTGGTCATGCTGCCTGAGGTTAGCCATTAGCCTATTCATCATCGCCCCGATGCCACTCTCACTCTCATCCAGTGTGCGAATGAAGAAGTCCCTGATCTCGCCCATCAGTGAGATGAAGCACCAGAAGCAGTCAGCTTCAGCCATTTCTTTGGGGAAAGGTTCAAAGGAAAATTGTCAATATAATTACAGCACATCCATGCTAATGTCATTCTTACAAAAACATTCTCTCCAATTTTTTTTTTTTTTTTTATTAACCTTCAATTTTCATTTTATTTATTATTTTATCAACAAAAAATATATACTTTTATGACTGCACAAAATCTTGTAAATTTGGATCAATAAAAAAAATCAATGAACATAAAAATTGTCTATAAAATGTAAACTCCTAATATGTAAACAACATGCTGTAAACATGTCACCTTTTTTCTAGAAAATAAGTTTACAAATAAAATCAGAATACAACCATACTATATTTAATAACATCAAATAACTGGTCTGTAAAGAGTTTCTACACTCCTTGTCAGAGGACTGATCATGAACACCAATCAGACAAAACACAAAAATCACCATTGTTGTCCCTTCATGAGGCTAAATTCCTATATAAAAAAGTTAGTCATGGCTGCATCTGTGAGAGAAATCCTTCAATTCAATAATCTATTCCACTTCAGAAAGTGTTATAAGGAAGTAATGAAGGTCCCATTCACACATACTGAAGTCATTAAAGTCAAAGTTGCCTACTATCTTCCATCCTTTGTGATTCTCATTGACAAATTTTCTCCTAAAGATTCAGAAGAGACAACTTGTAATTTCTTCTGCACTGATATTTCATTTACCCCTGTAATAATTGATGTATTTTATTAGAGACACTGATTAAACTTGAGGATAACTGAAAATACAAGTAAATAAAAATAATCTATATATCATTTGTTTGATGAAAGAGAACATATGATTCAGAAATTCTGAATCAAAAGAACACATTTCTTCTCATATACTATACTCTACTTGTTATAATGAGAAATTAACATTAGAGTTACAGACAGGCATCACTTCATACAAATTGTGACATTAATAAAAAATATAAAAAACATCACCCTTAGTGGTAACAAAACATTGGTAAACCAACACCAATAGTTTGAAATTCATAGAAAACAAGTAAAATAATAATTTTTAGACAAAATACAAATTCAAAACCTCTTTCACTAGCAGTGATGTTCCACTACTAGGAGCACCTTTTATCAACTCAGCCCTCAAAAACTGAAACTCTATTTGTTGGAGCATATTGAACCCCTTACTCCATAGCATCCCTAACCTTTTTCATTCTATTCTGATTAAATCTGTCGCTAAACAACATATTTTCAATATTTTACAACAATATTTTCAATCACGTACTTTTAGCTCCACATAAACAACCGAAGACATTCACAAATACGTAATATATGCATACAATTAATTCACAAGAGCTCAAAAATATATCAAACCAAGCAAAATAAAACATAATACATAAAAAAGTATGCCCACCTTACCTCTAAAAGCTTCATTGGGGTCACTTGCAAATGTGTAGTAAATGGGCCCAATAATTTCGTTCATCCCTTGCACATACGACTGTCCTGGATTGAGCTTGGCATATATGAATAAAATCCGTTCAACAACTTCCCAGTGTGCTTCGGATCCAGGTGAGAGCGGATGGTAGTCCTCTGTTGTGGTTGAGCGACGGCTTACTGATTCCATCTGTTGAGAGGAAAGATTAAAATGACACAAACAATTATTAGGACAATGTTAGTAATGGTAATAAAAATAAATGTTACATTAATAATACTAATGTATGTTAATAATTCTAATGTGTATATTTATTTCTACATACACTCCATACAACTGTGTATTTCCTTTCTGCATTAACATACAGTATTATATATAATACTGTATATAATGCTATACCATAAATATACAGTGTTACATGACTTAAATTAAGATTAAGCATTCATACACATTCCTTTCTGCATTAACATACAGTATTATATATAATACTGTATATAATACTATACCATACATATACAGTGTTACATGTTTTAAATTAAGATTAAGCATTTATACACATTCATGTTAACCTACTTCATAATTAATTAAAGCTTTGCACACACTGGACTACTGTTCATTAAAGTTTGGTTTACATTTCTTCTTTACATGTTAACAATCCCCAAACTTGTGGCTACTGTATGAGCTATCTAGCAGTCCAGTGATGTTGCCCTATGTAATAAATTTGCACATACTGAGGAACTCGAGCTGATGAAGCCGAAGAGTTGTCATTTGTTACTACCCTGAAAAAGCTTGAGTGATCTTCATATAGTCTAAAGGCATGGGCATGTTAAGGTGTAAGCATTCAAATGAAGGGGACTGTGTATGTATGTCTACACATATGGGAATGTGGGTGTGTGTGTGTATCTATCTATCTATCTATCTATCTATTTATCTATATACAGTCGTACCTTTGTGATCCCTAGTCCCTTTCTTGTAACTGAGGAAGCAGTGAGAGAAGAGTGAGTGACACGATGACTCAGTCTCTCCACATCTTGGTCATCAACAATCAGTCTGCAAGGGTAATTTGTTCCTCGCTGAAAGAACATGATGTCAGGACAGAGTCGTCTGCAATGAGAACATATGATTGTGGTAAAAGGGTATAGTGGAGTAAGCTTCACAGATATATCCAATACTAAGCATTTTTCATAATCTCTTAGGCATCTCTTTCTACCATAAATTGATCTATAGTAAGTTACAGTTGTTTCCACCCAACGTTTTTTTTCAATCAATCCAGTAACGAATAATATAACACCAGAGAAAACAAACTTTCAAAAAATCATAATAAAAAAAAAAAATACAGTCATATACATGAAAAAAAAATCTAACATGACCATCCTCCTACCTGACATCTTTGTCTATTTGTGCCAAGACCTCATTGTCCTTGAAGAATGACCCCCACTGAGAATCTGGGTTGGGATTCAGCGGATGGTCGTCCACGTGGTTGTTGCCGCTGCCATTCTTGCTCAGTCTGGCTGGTTCCACCACCATCTCCTCTGCAATTAAACAAGTACAAGGCATGTATGAACTTGTCTCTAACACCCTGAAAGCAAACTACAACCGAATCAACTGAAAAACTAACAAATAACAAGATGGATACATACTGCACTCTACCATATATTTCAGTTATTACTGTTCACCTATTAGCCTTATTCAAAAAATAAATACACCCTACACAGTAACATCATGGTCTGTGAAAACATTTTAGAAAATATTTATAATAACCTTTAAATCCCAAAGAATAAAGTCATCATCAACAAGGTAAACCCAAACTCACCATCACACATGCGTCACCATTCCTCATATAAACAAAACCAAAATGGACAAATGCAAAAAATAAAATACACCAGAATATCCTTCACACTCACCCACAAAATGCTGGTACTGCGCTCTCTTCTTGCGCAGAGTTTCATCCCACTGGCTAGTATCTAACGGCAGGTAATTCAGTAGTAACTTCCAGCACAGTGCTCGTCTTCCCCCTTCCTCTGGGGCTCCTGCAGGAAGTGAGGATTTTTTTTTCTTTTTTCTTTTCTTTTTCCAAAATTTGGGACTTGTAAATACTTATTCTATACTGTTGCATACTTACATCATTATTTATGAGTAAATGAAAAAAAGTGTGTATATATACATCTTATATATGTCACTATCACATAAGGGACAAGTTTTTATACACTATATATATCTAAATACCAAAAAAATAAGACAAAGAAGAAAAAAAAAAAAAAAATACAGTCATATACATGAAAAAAAAATCTAACATGACCTTCCTCCTACCTGACATCTTTGTCTATTTGTGCCAAGACCTCATTGTCCTTGAAGAATGACCCCCACTGAGAATCTGGGTTAGGGTTCAGCGGATGGTCGTCCACATGGTTGTTGCCGCTGCCATTCTTGCTCAGTCTGGCTGGTTCCACCACCATCTCCTCTGCAATTAAACAAGTACAAGGCATGTATGAACTTGTCTCTAACACCCTGAAACCAAACTACAACTGAAAAACTAACATATAGCAAGATGGATACATACCATGCTCTAACCATATATTTTAGTTATTACTGTCCACCTATTAGCCTTATTCAAAAAATACACCCTACACAGTAACATCATGGTCTGTGAAAACATTTTAGAAAATATTTATAATAACCTTTAAATCCCAAAGAATAAAGTCATCATCAACAAGGTAAACCCAAACTCACCATCACACATGC